TTTTTTTCTTATGAGGGCGAAAAAATCGCCAATCCCCAAGTATACTTGAGTTCTGCTAAAGCACAGAATATCCCAGTGGCTATAGCCTTTAAGATTGTTCCTTAGAAACTCTGGCATCTGATAGCACAAAAACCACTGCCTTTAACACGAAGAGCAATCCAAGATCTTTCTTACATGCTGACTGCAAAACTCAGGATGACATAAGAACCCAGGACTAGGAGGTAAAAGGCCTGGGTTCTAATTCCAGCTCTAAAGTTAGCTAGGTAAGTGATCCCTGGGCATAAACTGGTGCCAGCAGGTTTCAATGTCTTCATCTGTAAGAGGAGGGAGATGGACTAGCTCTAAGTATGTACACAAGATCTAGCCGTTAATGAATTGTGTCATCTTGGGCAAGTGACTTTGTTACTTTGTACTGAATTTCCTCAGCTGCAAAATGGAGGTAATACAGAGTTGCCCTACTTACCTCACAGGGCTGATGTAAGGGTAAAATTAGGTAAGAGATGTGACTGTTAGCTTTGTGGCCTTAGGCTAGTCACTGTACTTCCCTTGGGCCTCAGTTTCCTCATCTGTAAAATGATCAGGTTGGACTAGATGAGCTCTAAGTCCCTTCTAGCTCCAATATTCTACGATTCAAAAAAGTGTTTTGGCAAAATAACTAACACATAATAATCCATGCAAAAAACACTAATGCTAACAACTAAAGGTATTATTACAGGGATGAATAAGATGTGTCCCTTGCCTTGTCTACTAAGAGAAAAAAGACGTACATAAAAAACTATAATAAAAAATGTGATAGGTGCTATAATAAAAGTACAAAGTACTATGGGAGTTCATAGGAAGAGAGGTTACTTCTAGCTGGGTAATAAGGAAAAGCTTCATGGAGGAGACAGCATTTGAATTCAGCATGATTTGTACAGGCAGAGATCATTTACCATGAGGAAAGGATAGATAAGTAAGAAAGTTTAAAGTAAGTAGCAAGTTGAATAGTTTCATACTATGAAAATCCTTGAAAGCTGGGTTAAGGAATTTGGAGTTTAGATAAGATTTAATATTACTATTATTCTTGACAATTTATCAACTTCTTTAGGTAATGTATAGATTTAAGCCCTGAACTTTTACAATATCAGGACCAAGCTATTCCTAGGATCTGTAACAATTCATCTTTTCCATGTTTCTAAAAGGTTTGGATTTTCCTAGACTATTTTAACTCAAATCCCTGGTCCAAAACACACATAACAGAATGCTGAGCCAGGAGGAACCTTTGTGATCATCTAGTTCAGCCTGGCCATTCACAAATGAAAAAAACCAAGGTACCTAAAGATTAAGAGATGTGTCCAAGGTGACATGGTTAATAAGTGGCAGGGCTTGGGGCTCAAGCTGAAGGTCCACTAACTCAAAAGTATTTCTCAATCTTAACTGGCACACAGGAGTAAAATAAAGTATGTGCTAGTCAATCAACAGAAAAAAGGAAGGACATTCCTTTTCCATGGGCCCCTAGTTCATAAGGCCCCTCCCACCTGACAGGGGCAAGAAGAAATCACTACCAGCATAGCTCCAACCCTTAGCGGTAGCCCAGCTCCCACCTCAGCTGGATAGAAAGAGTGGCACAGGTGAGGAGCCCAGAATCTCTCATTTTGATTTACTAATAAGCTCAGGAAATGAAATGGAAAAGCATTTATTAAGCACTATGTGCCAGGCACTGGGCTAAGTGATAGGGATACAAGTAATCCAGACAGACCTGTCCTTAAAGAGCTTATATTCTAAAAGGTGATACAGTGTACACAGGAAAGCAGCATGCAATGTACTCTGAAAATGTGAGGGGGGGAAGGGATCACAGCCCTCATCTAGTCCAATCCCTTCACTCTTAAGATGAATAAACTCAGATTCACAGAGGCTCAGTTACTGGCCCAGACTGACATGAGTTAGTTGAGGAGTTAACAGAAAACTTACCCTGTCTGTCATTTTATTACTAATTCCAAGGAGCATCAACATGTTGTCACATTCCGTGACACCCATGGCATAAAGGTCACTTAGAACATTGGCACAGGCTATTCGGCCCTGGGAAAAAAAAAAGGGAGGAAAAAGGAAGCGGATTATCTAAAACAACATTTTCAGCACAGCACAAATCTACAAACCAGAGCATACTTTACAGCAGTATCACTCAAAGATGGGGCTTTCTGGGGGTGGGCATGGGAACATGGGACTTCTGGGCTTTTCATGACCCTAAAGGACCACTTTTTTCTCTCTCCATCATCACAGAGTTGCTCTGCCATTCATACTTTTCTCAATTTCCCATTACTATTTCCATCCCACTTCTTCCTGTTATTGTCCTGGGTAAAGCACAGGAATGATGCTACCATCACTCTACCATCAAGATGGAAAACATGATGAAAATACTATAATTTTTGGGGGGGGTGAGGGAGAGACTGAGCGGGGGAGACAAGGGTCAATAGAAAAAGGATAACATGAGGAGGATGGGATAAAATTTTTTTACTATAACTGTCCCCAAACAAACCTAAAAACAACACCTTACCTTACCAAAACCATTGTTTATCCTAGTAAGGTAATAAATAATGTTGACATCATTTATTTTCATTATATATTATACCACCTAGGTAGAGAAACGAGCTGTCAAAACAGCTCATGTTTTGGGTTTGTAAATTTGAGAGCTTTAAAAAAAACTTACTTTTAAAAAACTTAAATACCAAAAAATTAGCATTTTCATATATAGTAAAACAAGAGTATGTGAAACACTAAATCTCCATTGCTTACTTAAAAAAAAGGTTTAATGAATTCTACATCTTCCATTCAAAACCCTCCTACTTGCCTGGTTCTTTCTTTTCTTTTTATGCATTTAAAAAAGTCTCAATATTCCTTTTTTTTTTTTTGCATCCTTATTGCTATCTTCCCTTTCCAATTAAAAACCACGAGGAAAAAAACGCTCCTCTAACAACTAAGACTAGTCAAGTCAAATGAATACACATGGCCATGTCCAAAAATGTATTTCTTTCTGCCCTGTGAATCCATTGTCAGGAGGTGAGTAAATATGCTTCATCATAAGTTCCCTGGAGACATGGCTGGTCAGTGCTTTGATTTGAGTTCTCACATCTTTCAAAGTTTTTTTTTTCTTTTCAGTGTTGTTGCCCTTGGCATAATTTCTCCTCTTGGTTCTTCTTTCTTCACTCTGAATCACTTTATACTACCCAGGATTCTCTGAAATAATTTATTTTACTATTTCTTACAGCTCAATGATAGTCCATTATGTTCACGTACCATAGTTTGTTCAGCTATTTCCCAAATGATGATGGGCAGCCTCTTAGATTCTAGTTCTTTTCTCCTTTTAATCCATTTAGGGACTTTTTTTTCAAGGTTGCTTTTGAGATCAAAAGATAAGGAACTATCTAGAAAACTTAAGAAGCAGGGGAACTTTTTTAAGTGGCATTGAAACAAAAGCTTCTTTTCTGATGATAAAATAAGAAGAGTGACCAATTAATCTACAAATTATCAGAGAAACGATTCTTTAAAAGTCATAGAACAATTTATCCAACGACTACAATAATGGAAGAGAAAGAACTTCGAAACTCTGATCAATGGGATGCCAATCATGATGTCAGAGAAGTGATGGCGAATGTTTGTCCCCTGCCTCTCAGCGGAGGCCAGATGTACAGAATGAGGCAGACATATTGAGACAAAATATAGAAAAAATATAACACTTATAGAAGTACCTTTAGAAAAAAAATTGTTACAAATGCTTTTTTTTTACTTTGAATTTTTAACATGCCAGTCACTAGGCTTCAATGTAGCAAGCCAACAAGGAAGTTTTTCTTTTGACAGCAGGATAGTGAAACATTAAAGTGTTTCCTTGTTGGTGTTGTTCAGTTGTGTCCAACTCTATGTGACCCTGTGGACTTTTGTCCACAGAGTTTTCTTGGCAAAGATACAGGAGTGGTTTGCCATTTCCTTCTTCAGTGTGTCCTCATTTTACAGATGAGGAACTAAGGCAAACAGTGTTAAGTGACTTGCCCAGGGTCACATAGCTAGTAAGTGTCTGAGGCTAGATTTGAACTCAAGATCTTCCTGACTCCAGGCCTGGTACTCTTTCCACTGTACCACGAAGCTGCCCTATAAAGGCTTGCTTAGGTACATCACTAGTTTAAATTTTCTTACATATTTCTGCTAAGGCATCAACTATAACAAAATGTTTCAAACTAATAGTGCAAATCAGTGCACAAGACTCCAAGTTTGCCTGCAGTCTGGGGGCTAACAGCTACTCCTTTATTTTGACACCAGCTGAGGACATGACTATGTGCTTCCTACAGTTCTCTTGACTATGGCTAGAATTGTGATGAAATGAGGTGTCCAAGTCCCAGATCTGTGCACAAGCCTGACTACTACTCAAGCCTGACATTTGAAGAGCAGCATCTCTGGGTACTAGTGTTTCTTCCTAATAAATTTAAAGGTCCTTGAAGGCTGGGACTTTTTATCCCTATTACAGTGCCTGGCACACAGCAGGTGCCTAATAAAAGCTTTCTGAAATGAGCTTCTAGAAATGGAGAGCTGTAGTCACAGAAGCACAAGACAGACAACTCTTCTCCCCAAACAATTCTGCCAAAGAAATGAGCAGATTGGACATTTTGGTAGACAATGGGCTTCCTCCTTCAGGAGAAGGAGATCACTGAGAGAGCTGCTGCAGACGGGTCAGAGATCCCTGCTGTCCTGATGTCCCTACATGGTCCTGATGCCCTTGAGAAATGAGCCTGAGGAGGAGGTGAAGCAGAGGGAGGGAGGGCTTCACAACATATAGCACCTTGTCTTCCTCTCTGTTTGTCTCTCTCCCTCCACACCCCCCCTTCCACCCCCCCCCCCCACATTGACTGTGCTCTAAACAATTCTTTATTAGCTGAGTCACTGAAAGTTGGCCTATGGTCAGCAGTAATCCTCTCAACCAGCAAAAGTAACTCTTCTCCCTAAAGGTTCGAGAATTCACAACTATATGTACTTCTTAAATTTCAAGTGATAGCTGGAGGATAGAGAAATGACAAAAAAAAAATCTGAATTGATGTCTAAGAAGTCCATTTTTTGATGAGATATGTAGGACTTCCACTTCTGTTAGAAAATATCAAGACTGGTTTTACTAAAGGTGACAGTAATATCTTAGAAGAAAACTTCTAGCCTGATTTCTCATGCTACCAAACAAATGGAACTAGCTAGAGAAAGGCTAAACAAATCATAGCTCAAGAATGAAATGGAATATTACTGTGTAGTAATAAATGATGAATAGGGAGATTTCAGAGAAGTATGAGAAGACCTATGGGAACTGATGTAAAATGAAGCAAGAAGAACCAGGAAACAACGTATTCAATGACTACAATGTAAATGGAAAGATCGTCTTCAAAGAAGAAAAAAAGCAAATGTTTTTCTTCGCAAAGTGGTGGGGGGTGCAGGTAGGGCCTATGGGGGCAAAACACTAGATATAACTTCCTTTCCTCTCACGTGCTTTTAAACACTCTCTAATCTGGCTTTTGATCTCATCACTCAAATGAAATATAGATAGAGATCTATAGATGGATACCTATAGATCTCCATAGACTATCTCTCTCTCATTCTCTTTCTCCTCCTCCCCCGCCCTTCTTTCCATTCACACAGCTGACACTCTCACCTCCCAAATATGCCTAAACTACTGAAATAACCTTCTTGTTGGTCTCCCTGCCTCAAGTCTCTTGCCACTCCAACCCATCTTCTAGTAATCTGCCAAAGTGATTTTTTTTTTTTTTTGGTTAGGCAATGGGGTTAACTGACTTGCCCAGGGTCACACAGCTAGTAAGTGTTATGTGTCTGAAGCCGCATTTGAACTCAGGTCCTTCTGAATACAGGGCCGGTGCTCTATCCACTGTGCCACCTAGCTGCCCCCCAAAGTGATTTTCTTAAAGTTCAGGTCTGACCATGTTACCTCCCCACTCCCCTGACCCTCCCAATCGATACACTCCAGTGACTTTCTAACACTCCTAGAATCAAACATAAAATGCTGTTTGACATTTAAAGCTTTTCACCACTTGGCATCTTCCTACCCTTCCAGTCTTCTTACACTTTACTCCTCTCCCCAAGACATTCTATAATACAGCTTCACTGCCCTTCGTGCTGCTCCTCAAACATGACAATGAATCTCCTGATTTCATGTATTTTCTTTGGCTGTCCCCATGTCTGGAATGCTTTCCATCTTCACCTTTGCTTCCTGGCTTCTTTCAAAACTTAGTTCTAATTCTATCTTCTAAAATAGGCTGTTTCTAGTCTCCTAACTGCTAGAACCGTCCCCTCTGAAATTGCCTTCTATCTATTCTATATGTATCCTGAGGGAAGGGACCATGTTTTTACTTTTTTGTATCTTCAGTGCTTAGCACACTGTAATAACTTAATAAATGCTTAATGATTTAATAAACACTTGTTGACAGACTGTTTCAGTTGATGCATTGGATGAAACATTAGTTTGTTGAACTGGTATTTTTCCTCCTGTCTCTTTCTCTGATTACAATGGTTTGGATATATTAGGAAATGAGAATTACGTTTGAACAAAAGACAGCAACAAAATTGGAGACTTAAACCTAAAGTACAAGTGTGCTAAGGTTTATGAAGGTATAGTCAGGGTAACAGAGAGATGGAAAAAAAACCCACACAAATATTTATCATTCGTTCAGATAGTTAAAAATGAATAAGTGTGTGTAGAGATATACATAAAAGACTATGGGAGTTCCCCAATTTTTACCTAATGAGTTTGCTTATCTTTATATAACTTATTGTTTATGTTATCAAATGTGGACACAATAAATTACTGTAGTATAAAATCTATGTGTGTATTATTTACAGCATAATTTGCACATTTCTCTTTTAAAATAAATCTGGTTGAAATATAGAAACTTATGGGTCAGACTCACCATCATGTAAGGATCATCCACAATAGGATAAATGTAATCTGTAGTCTGAACTAAGGAAAGACCACCATGTCTCAATGGAATAACACACGTGTCCATTCCAATGCCTGTAAAGAACAGAATTAACATCAACAGACCCATCATTAAAAAAGGCAGTCACTATCTCTTATAATTAAGTTCTGAATCAGAAGGAACTTGTTTAATACTGTACAGTGCCAAGAAAGCAATGTGGTTCTTATCAAAAAGCATAACTGAAATAAATGTGAAACACAACCAGCTTAAGCAATATAAGAACCAAAAAAAGCATAAAAGAACCAAATGTCCATACACCGTTACTTTTTTTTTAACCATTATTAATGTAGCAGTCTAAGTGAAAACTTAAGTTTAATGAAAATTCTTTGCATAAAACACTTGTGAATAACACAATTGTTTTTGTACAGTACTAAGCTATGTGATTCTTACAATCTGTAAGATCCTTTCAATAAGAATCTCTTTAACAACCACCTGATACCAGACAATGGGACTAAGGTTGCTTAGTTTGCAACTGAAAAATTTTATACAGCATCCTATTTTCTTTCCATCAGAAATATTACAAAATATTACCCACAATGGATCTATAATTCCTAAAGAACCACATATACATTTAGACACAATAACTGTTACCATCACCTGGAAGCATTACTAAGTGGCATTTCAATTTGTCTTGAGATAAAAAAAAAATTTTTTAAAAATTAATAAAATTCCCCTTCTAATAAATCAAACCTTCATTAATTCGGTGTCCAAAAACACTGACATGACTTTACAGCAGCACTCTCTATGATAAAGGATTTAATATGCAAAATAGTAAACAGGCTCAAAGGAAAATACTTAAGCCTCAATAATAACACATGCATACACAGTGCTTTGCAATGCATAAATTATGTGAAGTTGTTGTAGAAGTATCATTTTCCCCCCTTTTACAGGTGCAGAGAGGTAAGACTTTTCTACTATCACAGAGCGGTCACATGGGTATTAAATGTTTGGAACTAGAACTGAAACCCAGATTTCCCAACCCCCAAGTTCAGTGCCTTCCTTATACCACATGCCTCTCTAGGTAATAGATGATACTTACACAGCACTTTAAATCAATCAATAAATATGTACTTATGAAACACCTTTGGTGTGCCAGGCACTGCAAATAAAAAGAGTGAAACTTGGATCCCTATTCTCAATGAGCTTATATTCTAATGGAGTAGATAACAAGTATACATACAGCATAAACATAAAGATAACACACACACAGACACACATTTGTTACTGTTGTTCAGTCATTTAGGTCACATCTGACTCTCTGTGACTCCATTTGGGATTTTCCATTTTCCAGCTCTTTTTACAGACAAGGAAACTGAGGCAAACAGGATTAAGTGATCTGCCCAAGGTCATACAGCTAATAAGTGTCTGAACTCAGGTCTTCCTGACTGTAGGTCTGGCGCTTTATCTACTAAGTCACCTAGTTTAGTAGATTCACACACACACACACACACACACACACACACACACACACACACACAC